CACCCCTGGATCCCATCCGGAGATTCCCGGCCAGAGTACTCACAGGAGGAAAGCGGTGACCACCAGGACAGAGACCCAGAGCGCCCAGCGCCGGCAGCCCATCCCTGGCTTCTGCTTCTGGTACATGCGGCCCCCGCAGTTCCCGCAGCAGCGGCAGCAGCAGAAGCAACATCCCACCAGTGGCACGAAGATGATGAAGAGGACTCCAATGGCCGCACAGACCAGAAAACCCAGCTCGTACAGCAGCAGCTGGGATAAGAAGAATGAGAGGCAGCATAACACTGGTGCCCCTGAAGACTCCTCAGCTCTGAGGGTCCTGTCCAAACGCACACAGGGCAGAATGGGTCCCCTCAGGGGGCTGCATATCTCCCCTTGCTGTATGGCATCCAGGGCTCAGCCTCAGAGCAGCACCTACTAGCATCCCCCAGTCCATGGTGGTCTGGGGCTGCCAGACCTCCGCCCTGGCTGCTAGCTCACCTCCTCGATATCCTCCCGGTTGAGTTCGATCTGAGACTGCCCAAAATCAATCATTTCTGGGGAATAAGAAACAGAGAGGGCTGTGAGCAGGTGCTAGGCCCTGGGGGGCTCTCCAGGCAGGCCCCACACTCTGCTCATCTCAGAGTTGGACTCCCAGTCCCAGGCATCACCTGTGGCTCAGACCAGCTGTGAGTACCTGGCATGTTTCTCCTTTCCAGTTGCCCTCCCCAGCCCACATGCTGAACAGCATTTCTGCATCTGGGAAAAGTGCTGCCAGCCTCCAAACTCTCAGGGTTCCACAGAACAAGGGAGTCCTCAGCCCACTGGGCATCTCAGCCCCCAGCCCACTCAGCCCCCAGGGGCACTGCCCTGGGGCTGTCCTCCTGCAACCCAGCCCCAGGGAAATGCCCGAGGGCACTGCCTGCGTGGGATAGGTGCAGGGGCAAAGTCCCCCTGACGTGCTGTCTCTTTCATCCCCGGGGCTTGCCCTGCCCATGGCTCATGGACTCATTACAAGCCATGATGACACAGGGTGCCATTTACTGTACCCTGGTATCTGTGTGACATGAACAAGGCCACAAGGCCATTGAGGAGTTTGCCAACTGCACCTTTGCCTGCAAGTTGATAGTGGCAAGTTCAGGGCAGAGCTGTGCCAGTAACACATCCCTGTCCTCTCAGATGTGGAGGAGCAAGAGCAAGCTCTGGCAAGCTGGGCAGTGTGCAGGGAGTGCCCGCAGAGCTGCTGTGCGGGCACTGGGACACGCTGCTCTTGGTGGCCAGCAAGCACAGAGAACTGCAAGTCAGACAAGGACTCTGCAGGCAGAGTGGGCTTTCCTCTGCACTTTTGTTGGGGCCTAGGATTAAAAATACCTGGAGTGAGGATAGGGCAGGAGTCTGCAAGGTGAGACTACCACCAATGCCTGTCTTGAGGTCCAGCTGAGAAAGCCCCAGTGACAGTCGTGATGGGATATGGGCAGGACACAGATAGCAATCCTTGGGGACCCCACTCTGATTCCCCCAACCATACCCCTCCTTACCCAGTACCCCGGTGTTAAAATCCTGGATGGACAGTCACCAGTGCAGGAAGGCTCAGGCTCAACTGGGACTGGGAAGCTCAAAGCAGCCCCCCCACCCCCTTGCCAGCCCCCCCCCCCGCTGTCGTGCACCCACCTACGGGCAGGGGATTGGGCTGCACCAGCCTCAGGAAGCCGTGTGCCATTGCCAGCAGCCCTGGTGTGTTGCTCCCTGGCGCCTCAAGGCCAGGGCCGTAAGTAGGCTGTGGGATGTTCCCCAGCTCCATTGCAGCAGCTCCGGTGGACACCTGGGCACAGAGAGGAGCTGTCGGTGTCGTCGGGGCACAGTACCACCCAGCCTGCCCTGCCTCCAACCAGGAAATACAGAGAGAAAAATCAGGCACCTGCCAGCTCCTGCCCGGAAGGAATAAGCTGTGGGAGAGCACCAAGTAGTGATGGGGAGTCCTGGGAACAGGGGGGTGGGAAGCCAGGCAGGAGGTGCCCGCGAGGGACCAGGGGGGCTGTGGGGGATGAAGAGGAGCACTCACCCCGTCCTCTGGCACCACTGTGCGTCCACAGCTGCTGCAGGGCCCAGCCACACAGTGCCAGCGCCCAGGTTTGTGGTTTGTTTAAGTATCAGCGGTGATTGCTGACAAGGTGTTTGCCGGGAAAGGCGGTGATACCGGGATCGCCCCACCCTGCCCACTATACCTCTTGGCACCTGGCCACCTCGGGCGCCTCTCCGTAGCGGGTCACCACCGACGCGTCCCGACCCAGGCACCGGAGAGAGCTGGTTTCCTCCTGCCCCGACCCATGAGCTAGGTAGCCCGGGGTGATCCATCCCATACCATGCCCACACCACCTGCATCCCTTCGGGATGGGGTGCACTGAGCCGGCCACGGTTTCGGCACAAACCAGCTCTAGCCACAGAACCAGGTTTTGCATCTAAAAACCTTCCGAAGCGGGGCACTGCGGCAAACCTGGCGTTTTCCAAACGCGCCCCGGCACCCCTAAGTGGGGGACAAGTCTCAGAGGCCCCCTGACGGGGTTCTTCCTCCAAGGCTGGGAACCTGCCTGGCTCCATCCACGCTCCCCGCAGAGCTTTTCCACGCCGCGGGGGCCACGGGTGACTCTACCCCTGCCCCCGCCCCGTGGTTCTCAACCCCCGCTCCGCCGCCGGGACTCTGGGAGCCGCAAATGGGGTCAGGAGCGGGGAGGGGCCGGGGGTCGCTCCCGGTTGTGCCGCGGACGCACCAGGCGGGCGCGGGGCAGGTGCCCCGGAGGTCGCGTCCCTGCGGGGGGCGGCGGCGGGCGGAGGTCCCCGGCTCGGCACAGCTGGGCACAGTTCCGCACCGAGCCCGCGGCACGGGCGAGCAGAGCTGGACAGAGCCGCCCCTTCCGCCCCGGCCCCCCGGGGTCTGTCCGGGGCGTGCGGCCGCCTCGGCCCCCACCTCTGCCGGGGAGGGCCGCCCCCCGCCCCGCCTCGCCCCGCCCCGTCGCGCCGCACCTTGGCACCCCTCCTGAACCCCGCTTCTGGCCCCATTCCACCCTGACATCCTGCATCTGCCCTGGAGACCCCCGTCCCTGTCCCATCTGGGAGAGCCCGCCACCGCCAGGCCCTATGCCCAGGTGATGCTCCCTCCTTGCCCAAGAGACCCAGCGCTCACCCCACACTGTCAGACCCAGTGCTGGCCCCTCTGGCAGCCCTGCCACAGCCCCCTTGACCAGAGCTGCTCTTCCTGCTGCCCAGCTTTTTCTTATGCCAGCCCTCAGCTGTGCCTGTACCCCCCTCCCCTCACCTCCCGCCCCCGGGCAGCTGGAGCCCCCAACATGGTCTTTGGCCCCTGTTCTGTGTCCCTGCATAGGGCACCATGAATTTTTGGACGGGCACCAGTGGGGAGTCAGGGTGAACTGTGCCCGAACGTCCTTTGCATAGTGGGCTTCCCGGTTCCTCAAGCACCCACGGCTTGCTCGCTGTCATCTCCTAGTTACTGCTTAACTTTCCTTGGCATGAGCAGGCATCACTGCCCTCTGCGACCTGGGGCAAAAGTGTCATGGGGAAGAGGGCAGCCTTGCTTCAGGGTTTCTTCCTGGTCTGGCCCATACGGGGTGCTGGGGTGCCATTCGGAACCCTCTGGCTCAGTACTGGCACAGGGGCAGGGCAGCAGAGGACACAGATGCATCCTGCCAAAGAAGATAAAAAGCAGGAGCAAGCAAGTTTCTCACAGGGTCTGATGTGGGGAGGGAGGTTTGGGGGCTTCATAGGTAGACTTGGGCTTTCCAGCTCAGACTTCAACCCTGAAGCGTTGTCTTGGGGCCCTCCACCAGTTCCCAGGTGCACGTGCAGGATCTAACCAGGTTAGATCTGCAGGATCCTTCACAGATGGCAGGATCTGCTTCTGTAGAGCATTGCTCCCTTCCAGCCCAGGGCATCCCACTGAGGCTGCCAGAGCTCAATGCACATCAGGAGCAAGGGTGTTGACATCTCAGCTCTGGGTGCCACCGCATCATGGGCTCATTGGGGCCACCCTGCACACACCTGCCTGGCCACAAGCTCCCACCACAGCACCTGTATCCTGCAGCCCCGCTGACCTCAGTCCCTCAGGGGTAAGGATGGCAAGGTAGTATCCCTCACTGCAGGTGTAAATCCAAGCCCTGCCCCTGCTCTGAAGACATGGGCCCATCCTGCCCTCACCCTCCACTGCATCAGCCCTGTTTTAAGAGCCCGTTTTCCCCCACATCCCTTTTTCCCCCACATCCCTTTTTTCCCTCCCCATTACTGCCAGATCTGCCCACTAATCACAGCCACAGGCTCCTTGCCCTACACTTCTGGCCACAGTGGGGTGTGTGCGTTGGATGAGGCACCCACAGTTTAAGCCTACAGTGTCCACATGGCTGGAGGCTGGACGCTGCTATCCACAGACATCTCCCCCAGTGGGGACAGCAAGATGCCATCTCTGGGGACAGCTATCTGCCCTGGTCTGGGGGAACCGGTGGCCTGCATCTTGCCTGTAGTGCTGGCATAGGGCACCCCAGCTTCTGGAAGGAGACTGGGGTAGTCCCCATGCAGGCTGGCGCTCTGGGGGTTCCTTGTCCCTCCTTTGTCCCCCTTCTGTCCCTCCAGGACACCTCCATGCTGCTCAACTGCTGCTGCCCCGTTCCCACAGCAGGACTGCACTGCCCCCATTGCTCCCCAGGGAATATGCCCATCACCTTGGTGTCCAGACAGGCCCTGAGCTGCTTGTTTGCTCTGGCTTGGGGACAGGGCCATTTCCCAGTTGCCCTGCATCTTGTGCTTGCTGAGATTTCTTCTTTCCATGGTGTGGCAAGGAGCTGGCCATGCTCTGGCTGGGAACCAGCAGCCTGAGGCCAGCCAGCATCATCCCGGGAGCACAGCAAGCCCTGTGCATTCACCCTCTGCCAGGGCACCAGGGACATGAGGAGACCCCTCTCTGTCTTGCCCACATTGGCCTGGTCCCATGCTCAGAAATAAGTGCTCAGGACAGCCTCAAACCGAAAAGTCATTTTATTGGTACCATACATGACTCATAAATGGCACAAACTATGGAGGGGAGGAAGAAAAAAAACCCAAAAAAACAAAAGCAAAAAAAAAAACCCCCAAAAACCAACCAACCAACCAACCAAAAAAACCAAAAAACAAACAAACAAAAGAAACAAAAAGGCATTACAGTGTGCCTGGGGCAGCGAGGGCTCCACACCCTCCACGGCAGCCCTGTGGCATGGTGCGGAGAATCGTACCTTAATTGCAACTCATTCAGAGCCCCGCTCCCTTCCTGCCACACCAGGCTCCCACCCTGGGATCCTACCCCCACCTGCAAAGGGGCTGTGGGGACCCCTGTGCCTGCAGCTGTGGGTCTGACCGGCCAAGCCCTCTGCCTCCAGTCTGCCCATGGAAGGGCCCAGGAGCCGACACAAGCATCTCTCCAGATATTTTCAGCTTGACCAGGGCTGACTCAAAGGACTCCCATCTCCCTGCCCAACCCCAGGGACAGCAGAAGGAGGGGACACACAGGTTGGCCCCCATCCTGTCTCAGCAACCCCTGCACTCTCAGCTGTGAGTGGGCAAGGCACGGGTCCCGCAGCACCCCTGCTGCAGCCAGAGCCCCCGGGCAGGGACAGCCCCTCAGCGACACCTGCCAACCCCCCACCCCACGAGGCAGAGGGACATGGTCTGTGGGACCCCTGGCAGGGAGCTGGGGGAGGGGCAGTGGAGACAATGGGGTGCACCACCCTATCCCCCAAACTTCAGGGCTGCTCTGCCTGCCCTGGGCTTCCTTACACATGCAGACAGACACACAAACCTCTCTCACACACACTCTCACACACACATACCCCCCCCACTAGGGCAGTCCCCCCACTAGGGCAGTCCCCCCACCCTGGCCACCCCCATGGCAGCACTTGCTGCAACCCCACCTTGGGACATGCCAGGGGGCCCCCATGGGCAGCCCAGACTCCCATCTCACCCCAAAACCTCCCTCCAAGGCTGCTGGGGTGAACTGGTTAGCACAAACACCCTCCCCCGGCACCTCCCATCTTCTCCTTGGAAGAAGCCTTGGAAGGGTTTATTTTTTTTCTTTTTTCTTTTTTTAAACCAAAAAAAACCCCCAAAATTATTATTTTTCTCATCGTTTCCCCTAACATCAATGGAGGCACCTGCTCTAGTGATAACACATTGAAAGAACAGTATCGTACACACTGTCTACAGCGCGGAAATGTACAAGCACGAGGTACACGAACCCGAGGGGGGGAGTGGGGACAACAGCACACAAGATTTACATTGAGGAGGGAGGCGGGGGGCTGATCCCCCCGACCCCTGGAGGGATTAGAAAGGAAGTCTGCAAAGTCTCTCCTTGGTTTGAAGCTCTCTGAACTGGATATAAAATGAGACTTCCAAGAGAAGAAGCCTGTACAAAAGTCAGGACAGGGTGAGAGGGCTCAGGACAGGGAGGGGGGAACCGGCAAGGGGGCTGAGGGGGGCTTTTCCCATTTTTTTTTCTTTTTTTTTAAACTTACAATTTTAATAATATTATTTTTTTTCTTAAAAAAAGACAAAAGTAGGAGGTACCAGGAGCCAGGGTTTGCAAAGGGGCCCCAGGCGGACTCACGCAGGGTGGAGGGAAACACAGGGGCTGCAGGCAGGGAGCAAGGGCACTGGCTGCTCCAGCAGAGCTGCAGGTCCTCTGTGTCCCCCTAGGCCCCCCCCCACACATTTCCTATATACAGAGTCCCCCCATGGCCACACTGCGCTTTCGCTCCGGGGAGCAAGGGGAAGGGGAGGGTGCAGGAGAGCGGGGAAATATGATGGGGCCCTATCCTCAACACCACCCCAGCGCTGCAGGATCTGACCCCAGCCGGAGGAGGCTCTGTGGCAGAACCTGAGGTATGAGGACAGCTTTCCATCACTGCCTCCCCCACCCAGACCCAGTTTGGACTGGGGATATGCAACCCTCCTGCAGGTGGCTGTTCAGGAAACACCAGCCATAGGACCCAGGGAGAAGGAGGGTCTCAGGGCTGTACCAAACCCCAACATGTGGCATCTGGTAACGCCAGCTGCTGCCAACACCTCCCTCCTAATTCCCCCCACTCAGCAGGGAGGGGTTGGGCACATCGGGGCAGGGGTGAGAAGCTCTCTGGGCAAGAAGCAGGGAGGAAGAGAGAAGGGGAAATAACGAAGCTATGGCCCCGGAATCCCACCCCTGCCCTGGGGTCCATTGCAGAGGCAGGCATGGGGGTGTGGGGAGGTGGCAGGGGGAGAGGGCTGGGGGCTGCCTGCCTGGCATGCGTCCCAGGCCATGCACCCCATCATCCTCGCGGCGCCGGTGTGCCCCCGGGACCTCGCCGCTTCCCAGTCACTCTCCGTTGCAAATGTACAGGTAGATTGGTTGGGACTGAGTCCACGGGGCGGCGGGGGGGCCGTTACTGCGACGCCTGTGACGTGGGGTTCTCTGACTTGCTCTCCTGGCTGGAGGGCGGTTTGCTGTTCCAGGGGCTGTTGGCCCCCAGCGCCGGTGAGTTGTTGAAGCTGTCCTCGTCGTCGATGCCGTTGGCGGCGTCAAACTGTGTGTTCTCCAGCCGGGTGATGAGCCGCTCGTCCTCGTCCCCAAACTCCCCCCCCATCAGCGTGGGCTCGCCTACCACCATCACATCCTGAAAGGGGAGACGGTCCCGAAACATAATCGAGGTGGGGGGAGCCTGGGCCGCCAATCTCACCCTCAACACTGCAGCCCCTTTCCCCAGCTGCAGGGCCACTTCCTCGTCTCCACCACAGGTCCCAAGCTCGGGCACTGTGTGGAATAACACATCCTCACTCCCTTGCAGGAGCTCAAAGGAGCTAAGGAAGGCTGCTGGGACACCCATTGCTTCTTCTTCCCATCACATGGAAAGAGCCGGGGGTGCTTGGACAGGCAGTCCCTGGGGGTCTCCCCTTAGCAACTCCCAGGGGCTGGGGCAGAGAACCCTCCCCTCCATCCCCGGGGGGGAAGAGAGAATGGAAACGGGATGCTTACAGGTACCTGACTGGACAGGGCAAAGGTGCTGGCTGGGCTCTTCTTTTTGCTGTTGCTGTTGTTGGTGTTTCCCCCGCCGGAGCTCATGGTGCTGCCCCCTGACATCTTCCTTTTCCGGCGCTTGCTGGGCTGCTGCCGTGCTGGCTCCGCTGGTGGAGGATGGAGACATACACGGTCAGTACCAAACCCTTTTCTGCAAACCCCACCTCTGCAAGGACCACATTACCCCCCCTGGCAGCATCACCACCCTACTCGCCTCCACAGCTCTGCTGTCCCCCTGGTGCAGGGGACAGGAGAGGCAACAGGAAAATCTCCATCCCTGCTTTGCTTTCCACAAACAGCTGGCAGCCCCCAGGCAGGAAGCACTGGCTGCCCGCAGCCCTGCTCTGCCCCAGTGGGCAGGCAGGCCAACTAAGAAGGAAGCCAGCTGCCTAGCTTACCACCCCCAGCCTCACAAAGTGAGGCCAAGAACAGCTCTGGGGCTGGGAGAAGTCTGTGCCAAGGGCAGGGCCTGAGCAGGAAGCCCCAGAGACCCAAAGGCAGCACAGCAGGCAGTGTGAGACTCACCAGGCGGAGCGACCATCCGCTGCCACTTCTGGAAGAGGCAAGTCTTGAGGCAGTCCCGGGGACTGAGGCTGTAGGTCTTGTGCCGTGACATGAGCTCCTGCATTGGTTCTAGGATTACACAGAGCTGCAGGGAGCAGACAGACATGGGGTTAGATCGCAATGCTCTGAGCCCCAGCAAAAACCCCTCTGTTAGCCAGCCATCTACACTGCACCAACCCAAGCCACGCTGGGAGCTTGTGGGATCCGGCAGACCCACTGCCCCACAATTCTCTGCAGCCCCCCTGCAAGACCCCTTTTTCAAAGTCTGCCTTGCTGTCTCCCCATACCCCGGGGCAGCCAAGAGCTGCATCCCCTCCTCTTCTGGCATACTTACTCGGAGGTAGTTGAGTGTGGAGTTTGAGAGCCCACAGCGTGTGATGTTCTTGGATAACTGGTCCAGCATCTGGGGATCCTGTGCCTAGGAGCAAGAGAGACAGATGGCTGAGCTGCATCCAGACTGGGAAGGGCCCTCATGTGCCCTGATCTGCAATGGAGGGACTGGGTTGAGGTCCCTCCAACCTGCACAGCACCCCGAGTAGCTCAGCAGCCCTGCGTCACTTGTGCCTGGGGGAGCTCCTGGAGCTGTACTCACATGCATGGCAAGGATGCTGCGGGGGATGAGCTCTCGATGCTGGCGGATGCTGAAATGCCACGTCTTTATCCTCATCATGTCATCAAACATGAACTCCAGGTAGAGCCGCCCCTCCACACACACCTGGACAGGGCACACGGTCAGGCACAGGCTGCTCCAGCCTCCCCCAGCCCAGATCCCCTGGGCGCTCATTGCTGCATACTGGACACCCTCCCAGTGGCTTGCCTCTGCCTCCCAGGAGACTGAGCACAAGCCAAACCCACGAGCCCACAACGCATGGCCCTGTGGGACCACAGCCACCAAGAGGGCACACAAAAGCAAGATGTGAGGGGCAGCAGAAGCTGTAGGCACAGCCAGTACCTGGGTGAACATGGGCTTGCCGTGCTGAGTGACCATGGTGCACTGGTCACAGTCCAGTGAAACAAAGTTGTTGTGGAAGGACTCCTTGGGGTGCTTGAGCACGTAGTAGAGCTCTGTGGCCCCCCCTTCAAAGATGCTGCGGAAGTAACGGGGAATCAAAGTCCGGCCGATCGCTGGAGCAGAAGGAAAATAAGGTCAGTAAACCTGGCTCACCCAGATGTGCCTTGGGACATACATGAAGACGTTCTTCTCATCCCTGCTGGCTGAAGACCACCAACCTCCAACACCCTGCCCACATCCCCCTGAGCACACAACTCTCTCCTGACAGAGGGCAATGCCCTGAGGAAGGAGGGCTCAAGCTGGTACTCACTGTATCTCTTTGGTCCATCCTCCAAGCAGAAAGTGATTGTTAACATGGCGTCATCCTCAAAGAACTCCGTGGTGAAGGCGTCCCACCACAGATTGTCACATTCCTGAGGATAGTGGAGAGACACTTAGTTTATGGGGAGGAGAGATAGACAGACAGACAGACAGCCATTGGCTGCCAAGCACAGCAGCCACGCGCTCAGCCCGTGGAGGGCTGTGCTCCAATCTGAGTGCTTGGAGATGGGGTTAATAAGTCCTTATGGGACAAGGTGCTTGGGGACCTCCACAGTGGGACAGGACCCTGCGGCCAAGGAGAATCCTCCTATTGCCAAGGCAGCTCAGGAGGGCAGGCAGCACAGAGGACCCCACCCTCAAAACACACCTAGAAGCATCCTCCAACCCCTGTCTGCCCCTTGCTGCCCCAGTTCTCTACCTCTGTCCAGTTCTGCAGCCGCTTGTTGAGCTCAAATATCCTGTAGTCGGTCTGGTTCCCGTACGGCGTGTGCCTCCTGCCCAGAGAGCACAGGAAGCCATCAGAGGGGAAGGCAGCCACAGGGTGGGGAGGGGTCCTGAGCCATGGTGGGGGTACACACAGCCTCTCCAGGGCTGGCAGAGTCTGAGCAATCCCCCCACAAGTCCCAGTCAGCAGCGTGCTGGCCCTGCTCAGGCACACCCACCACGGGCACAAGTTCCCCTCCCAGCTGGCTCCCCTTCAGCTCCCCATGCTTACCCGATTCCAGGCTCCAGGTACGTCGGTGGGTACATAGGAGTAGGTCTAGGGGTAGAAAGAGATGCAGGCAGGTCAGTCCTAGTGGGGATCTCCCACCACAGCTCCCTCTTCCCTGGCTACAGCAGCAGGTGGTCAGGCTCGCTGGAGGCGAGACCCCACACACGGTGCAGGCTGCACCCTGGCTACCACATGTGACAACCCCATGGGGCATCCCGTACCCCAAAACTGGGCTCTGATCTCACATCACTGGCTGCTTCACCCCTGGGACCTGGCCCACTGCTCCCTGGGGATGTGCCCAACTCCTCTGCAACTGGGACTGGTGCCAGGCAGGAGAAACTGGAGAAGAGGTTGCTGTGGGAGGAGTTGGGAGTGCTCCCTGTCCAGAGTCACCCCAGGGGCTTGGCCTGGAAAAGGGCTTGGAGAGCCCAGAGCTCAGGACCTAGGGGCTTCCTTCATTCCAAATATCACTCTTTTACAACCCAGTACCACCCAACCCCTTCTCTGCCGCTGTGCTAATTGAACTCCAGCACCCCACTTTCTGCATGCTGCTGGGAAGCATAACAGAGACCCTGGGGTGCAGACTGCAAAGCATCCCTAACCTTGCAGACCCCTCCCAGGGCCCCAGCTCACCCCACATCTCGATCCAGCATGGTGCCCGGGTGGAAAGGGGGGAAGGCGTTGCCGTTCGGGGGCTCCTTTGGCGAGTACAGCTTGAATGACTTAGAGGAGCAGCCTGTAAAGAGAGGGGACACGAGTCAGTCAGGGGCACCCTGTGAGGACAGACACCATGCTGCTGCTGTGAGGAGGAAGAAGGATGCAGGACCAGCCAAAAACCCGTTACCACAGTCTCATCCCTCCACTGCTCCCCCCAGTGTCAGCCCAGCACCTTCACTCCACACACAGCTCCAGGCCTCCCCTGTGCAGGATGTGACTCACAGGGTCACAGCTGAACTCAGGATCAGCAGGGCCCGGCCCCATGCAAGGGGTTTGCCACTGGTGCCCAGAGTTTGTCAGTTCTCAGCTGGCCAGGCTCTGGGGACGTGCCCAAGGGGGACAATCCAGCTGGTAAGCCAGAGGAGGGGCTAGCTGGACCCTATCCTCCCCATAGCCCTCCCTCGCACGCTGCTCCTAATCCCACCAACCGACCCGGGAATCACACGGGATCTTTTCGCTGACCTTTCTATCGTCATGGTGACGGGTGAATAATCACCCGGAGGCATGGATGGCAGGTCCCCAGGCAGCCACCATCTGCCGCTCAGGCAGACCAGTGGCCACCCAGCTCTAGGCGGACAGAGAGATTCCACACGCCAGCCCCCAGCTGTGATCAAAACACCCCAGAGCCTCATGCCCACTGCAACACCAGGGCGAAGGACAAGGAGCCCATGGAGGGCCGTGGGGTGTGATGGGGTCTGCAATGGAGCACACAACGTGTGCAAACCAGCACACATCCCTGAAAGCAACCTGCAGACACCTCTCCCCCAGCCTGCCAATGGGAGACAGGGATGCCTATTGAATCCAGCCATGCTGGGCACATCCAGGCTCCCAAGAGGCAGCAGGGAGCTCCCACAGTCACTAGCCCCCTCCCACTGCAGGGGCAGGTTCCTGGGAGCTGCAGCTGCCAGCACCCCTCCCGAGGCCCGCGGGAGCCCCGGCACACCCCACGGCTGGCAGGACCCAGCACGCTGTGCCCAGGCGCTGCCGAGGCACGCGGCTCCCTCCCGGCAGGCAGGCGGGCAGACAGGCTGACCTGGATGGGGTGCAGCAGTGGGCGAGCTGCCAGGCAGCTCCGGCTCCACCGGCTCAGCCGGCCCCGCTGCACACGGGCACGTCTCCCCCTGCCCCGCTGCAGGCAGGGGCCCTGAAGCCAGCCACATCAGGGCCAAGGCGGGATCCCCATCGGTGCCCGCCCGCACACGGCCCTGGGACGGGCACTTCCCAACGCCCACAAACTGCCAGGATTGCCAGCCGGTACTGGAGAAAGCAAGCCCAGCAGTGGAGGGAAGTGTCCTGGAGGCACCAGGCACACTGCTGCCCATCTGGGCTCTGACGTACAGCTAGGCTGTGGGGAACAGTGCAGGGACAGGATCAGAGCAGCAGTTCAATTGTGATGGGTACAGGAGGGGAGCAAAAAGCACCAAGGTCAAGGAAAGCGATGCCATCAGCACCAGAACCCAAGATGTCCACCTTGTTGCAATCCATTAGCCAACACAGAAGAATGACCAGGGCATCACCTTCACCCCCGTAAAGCCTCCTGGGACCCCAAGTCAGCAGTCACAGGGATTGCACACACTGCTGAGCAAGCAAGGGCTGGTCAAAAATAGAGGGGGTCCCCTCCTCGGCATTAAATTCAACTTGCAACAGGGGAAAGCTGCGTTTTACTCCTCGATTCTTGTTTTCTTGGGGCCTTTTCACCATGTTTCCCAGTAGCAGCTGAATCCAGCCTCTCTCCAGCACCCACCAGGATGCACCAGTCCCACGGGGCTGGAGCCAGCCCAGCCACTCAGACATGGCTCACAGCTCCAGCTCCTGCCCGCCTGCAGTGAGGATAACTGGGGCACGGCACAATTTCTCATACAGCTGCTAACAATGTCGGCCCCTTGCTCTTACCTAATGTTTTCATAGATATAAAAATTTTTAAAAGGGAGATCAGTGCTGGTTGGTCAGTGCTGTGAGAAAATTTTTACTTTCCGCTTTATCCACATCAACTTGTACCTAATGGAAATGATAATTCAACCCAAACTGCACTAGAAACAGAGCATTTCCATTTCCTCCACATTTTTGTTAAACAACACGACATCAAAGTTACTTGATGCTTAGGAAACTACCCAAAAGTGTGTCTTCTGCTGAAAATGAACCAATTCATTAGGCAGAGACAGCAGTGGCTGGAGAACTGTTTGTTTCTGGTCGCCCTGTCCTTGGGGAGGAGAAAAAAATTGGACCCAGCAGGTCTCATCCTTCAATTCTTTGTTTTTATTCACCGATGAGAGATGAGAGGATTAAGTCCCTGAGGCTTCTTGCTGTCCTCAGTCCCCACCTTTTTTCTCAGGGTGCAGGAAGGTCTCCTGGGGTGGGGAGACTAGAGAGACACATCTCCATTTGTTCTGCTTCTCCTGCTCTTCCCTAGCTCCCTGCTCCTGGAGTGGGACAGTAGATAAGCCAGGCCGCCACTCCTACCCAAGCATCCATTTCCATCCTGGGCCTTCCCCAGCAGGTTAATATGGACATGACCTGCTTTTGCAACTCCACTGAGTGACCTGTCTCAGGATCTAGAGGAATGGAAAGGAGTCTGTGACCTCAGCACCACTGGCATCTTGACCAAGTGTTATTTTTAATGCAGTGTAAAATATGTCACTGGATTCGGTGGTTTAAAACAATGCTAACAACAGCTTTAGGATTTGATACAGGCTGTCCAAATTCTACATTTACTGTAGACACACTATACACTTTACATGAAATAACAATTACTTTAAAGCAGCAGCAAAACAACTTTTACTCACACAAGGGTCAAGCCGCCTGGTCTGGAGATCCCTCCATCACCACCTCTCCCCTTTATGCTGCTCCAGCTGCCTGTAAGCCCTGTCCAGCTGGATGAAACGACCCAGAGCTCCACGATATGGCCCTTCCCAAGTCAAGCCCAGTGTCTGACCCCAGCTGGCATTTCTGCATGACCCTGCTCTGGCTCCTACTTTGAGCACAGAGGATTTGGGCAGGCTTGATGCAAACAGGGATGCTGCCCGGTGGCTGAGAATGTGATGCCCCTGTGGACTCTGAACCAATAGCAGATGCTTCCCGTGGCTATCCCTCAGTGCTAGCCCAGCACTGCAAAAACGTTCAGCAAGGGGAAGAATCAGGCTGATGCTGCAGCTGGTGAGCTTCTGGCCCAGGCAGGTCTGGGCAAACAGCACAGTGCCTGTGGCCAGGTGGGCGGCCTCACGGCTCCTCCTCAGCGTGGAGGTGCGGGAGAAGGGAACCCCGTGAAGGGATGTCCCGCCTCAGCATCCTCTGACAAGGCCAGGTCCACAGCCATGGGCAGGACGGACCTGCCACAAAAGCTTGGGTAAGTAAACAGCTCCAGGCAGGCGGGCACCCAGGGAAGGGAAGGCATTACTCACATACGGCCCAGCACTGCCCAACCCTCCACATGCCTTCTCCTCTGTGTTCCCTGCCTGTGAGCTATCAGCCCCATGGGGAAGGCTCTTCTAGTGCACTGTCTGGTGGGTTTGCTGGAGCAGGAATGACTGAAACCCTAACCAAGCTCCCAGAGCTGGGGAACATCAGGATTCCCAAAGCACCAGAAGCACACTGGGCACCTTGCAGAGCCAACATAGACAGGAGACAGTAGGACACGATAAGCCGAGACCAGTGCCAGCTACCTGCCTGGGCAGGGGACATGCAGAGCAAGAAGAAAAGCCCCTGCTTGGACTCTCCTCACTTCAGCTCACCTGTAAAGAGCAAAGAACTGCTGAGGACAAAGGCAAAGAAGCATCAACATCTCACTCCTACACCTGTGGCCATCGGTAGGAATCAGTGCACCCCATCCCAGAGAGGAGCAATCCCCAGCCCGGCAGCCAGTGCTGCTCTGTGCAAGCAGCAAAGCTCAGCAACAAGGCAGAGGCTAAAAACGTAAATGATAAAAATAAATGAAGCAGGGCTTGAAAGGGGCCACAGGGTTACAGCTCAGCCAAGGAGCATCCTGCTCCTCCCAGTAGTCCGGGAAGAAGAGAGGCCAGCCTTCGCTAAAGGCAGCCAGTGCTTCCCAGCATGCTCTGTGCCTGCTTCCTGGCTGCCTAACGAGGCTTTAAAGTGTAAATAGCGGCATTGTTTCACAGGGCTGCCTCGCTGGGGTGTGGGAGCTGTGATAGTGGCAAGAAACATCTTCCCAGCCCAGTCCCGCTGGCATGGCTGGTGGGAGGGTGCTATCCAGGAAGCTGCTATCTGGGGCTGGGTGCAGGGCAGCGACTCAAATAATTCACATGGTTCACCCGGTGACAGTGCCTGGTGTCCAGGAAGTTGGCAAGGCTGGGAGGCAAACACGGAGAAGTATTCAGAGTGACTGGGACAGGCAGAGGCACCTGGTCTGCCCCCACAAGCCTGCCTTCACCTCTTCTTTCTCCTCTTCTCTGGAGCAGAGGGAATGGAGCAAAGCCAATTGCAAATCCCAATGTTGTTATTAAACACACGGGAACCCAGGCAGCACACACAGAGGCATGACCTGAGACATTATCAGTGACAATCTCAACTTGCAGCAACCCCATTTGCTTTGAAAATGCAGAACTGATGCAGCTGAAGCTCCCAGGAGGCCGGGCTGCGTAGGGAAGAGGAGATGCCACTTTTGGAGAGGACCATGTGCCATGGACTCAGCGGCATCCAGAGTTTGAACCCGGCCAGCACATCGCCTGGCCCTGACCCGTACAGAGGCAAAACCTGCATCGCCACCTGCCCTGCTGTGTGCAGGGATTACCCTCTCACTTTTCCCAAGCTACATATCTGAGTCAGCCATGGAGCTTATCTGGACCACAAGCTGCCTCCCCGCCCGTACCACATGGCCGTGCACAGTGTCCTAGCTCCGGGTCACATCCTACAGTGTTAGTGCAAAAGTCCCCCATGGCAGCACACAAAGCACCTGGACTCAATGGTGTTCCTCTCTGTAGGCTGCCTCACAAACTCGGGGGAACAGCCAGAGAAGGGATAATTACCTGCAGCTAGTTATTACAAAGTGGCAATGTTGATGCA